AATAAGCAGAAAAGTGTAAAAAAATTAGGTTAGTTTAGATACGAGTGTATTGTTTTAAAACTAGCACAAATTCGTCTTTTATTTTCTGGGTGAAATGTGTAAATATGCGCATTATATTGAACCCCTTAACAATAGTGCTTGCATAAAGATCTTCTCAAATCATTAATTAAAACCAATTTATAATATGGTTGTGCAGTATTTCGCTGATAATATGCACTTAGCATATAGGTACCTACTAAAAAAAAATACAAATGGAATAATTCGTATTTCTGGGGTTCGTGTTCCTTAATAGGTAGGTGGATACTGCAGTGAAGCATTGTCTTTTATAGCTAAGGATTGAAAATGTAATATAAGCTAGGTGTACGTAAGTACGTAACTACGCAAGTAGTAAATAGTAAATTCTGTAACCAAAAAATCTAAAAAATATGTTAACACAGTTTTCTTATAGATCTTTCAAGTTCAAATTTGGACGAAATTACATATTAAATAATCAAGAATAGTTTTTTAGTTATTTTGTTGTCATTTTAAAATATTATTCGTGGGTACTTGAAGCATCTGAAGTAGGTATATTATTAATTATTATATACAAATATGATAATATTAATTCAATTTACCGGCCACCGTATTAATAATAATAATATAAATATAATATAAAATATCCTAGGCTGACAAATCGTCTCTGTTCAGAATCGCTGAGAAAACCGTCCCCTCAAAATTTAACTCGTTAGTTCTTAGTGTAGTAATCCGACGTTTTTACGTTTTTACGTTTTTTGGTTAATATAATTTAACACATATTCAAAGTTTAATTGTCAACTATTTACATATTTAATAATGAATATTTGTAACTCATAAATATTTTAGTCACAAATAATGTTTATAAAATCTTTTTAACTATTTAACAAAATAAGGCATGTCGCACTTTCCCCATAAAACATGTCGAATATTCCCAGTGTGGAACTTTACACGGGGGAAGTGCATAATTGGCTAATACTCATTTGTATGATACAATTAGCATAATTCATAAATTAAATAATATTATAAATATAAAATAACATTTATTTACCTAATTTGAAATTATTTTGAGCAATTTAGGTGGGTTAACTAGACCGTTGAATTATCGTCGATTTAAAAAAAAAATACGAGTAAATAACTGATTAGCTTTTTGAATATTGAATAATGATAACTGCTATGTTTGATATCCTAAGACCTAAAGTGTAACCAACATTCGATTAATATTAAACTTCGTAATCTTCATGAAATTAACTTTAAAATTGAAAGATTGTATTTTTTATAACCCGATTAGGCACTAGCCCCGTTAAGCTCTTACCCCACCTGACCTACCTTACATTTAAATCATCAATTTTATGTCTATGTATACTAAGTATACATAGTCCAGATAGTTTCTGCTCTGTCATTGTACTTTGTAGACCTTAACCATGTTTTTAGTACTACGAAGCGTACTAAATGACCTGTTAATCGTACATGACGTGTAGGAGGTATGGTCATGTAAACAATGATACATTATTTAATTGACGGTAAAAAGTCACGGTCTTTAAGAATGTATGACATATCGTCGTCTCAGAATGAAAAGGTTCTAACGCAATTTATGTAATTGTTCAGGGGAACGTTTTTAAGTAGGACATTGAATAACTTTTTTCACCATAATTACTAAATCGTGAAAATTGTATGCAATATCAAGAAAGTTCCAAAGAACACAACTTTATCTGCAATTTGTCTTTCCTCAATTATTGACTGAGTTAATCATAAAAAACCAAAATATTAGTTTTAGAATTAAAAGGTTTTACGTGTAGAACTTTTTCATTCTGAAAATAAAAATTATTTATTTAGTTAGAACTTTTTCATTCTGATTTGAATCATTTTTTCTATGCAGTGATACCAACTTCTAGTGTAAACTATGTTATAAATTATACATTTTTTTATTATGCAATATTTTTAGTTTTTAAGTTAAGTATTATTATATTATAACATACCCGTATATGTAGTGGGCGGGGGGTCCCCCCACCCCCGGAATTTTTTTTGTTGTGTATGTGCCTGGACATACCTACTATAAGTAATAAGTAATAACTAATAAGTTACAATTGTATGGTCCATTGGCGCAATTAGTGTAGGGAAGGGGGGTATATTGAAAACGCTACAATATAAATTAAACGGCATAAATCATAATTCACAATAATGAAAAATGTCAAAAACGTAATTAAAATTTAAATGTACCATTTCTTATAATACTAAAGTAGGTACTATATACATGTGTCATGTAGGTATTACCTACCTTATCACCTCAACAAAACCAAAATAGACGGTAAATTTATGCTGGAATGCTGGAATAATATTTTATTATGGCACAATAATAATTTATATTGTACCAGTGGTATAACCGTATTATAACGGGACCTTTTCATTCTGAGATATTACATTTAAGACCGTTTAGAACTATTTCATTCTTAATTATTGTTTAGAATGAAAAGGTTGTAACTGATATTTCTCGGTTTCGCGCTTATCATTCACGTTTTTATGAGTTAGAACCTTTTCATTCTCTGTATCTCATTGAATAATCAACGGATCGATCCGATTTCAAGATTGAATTATACAACAAAAAATTATAAATGCAAAAAAACCATTTTTCAAAAAAATTGATTTAGAACCTTTTCATTCTGAGGCGACGATATTATATATTCTTCACTAATTTTATGATAATCAATTTTCTTTATTCAATGTATCAATTATAATATAATTATGTTTAAATAATTAAATATTAAATTTATAATAGACATGGGAAATCTAGAGGGGGACATGTCCCCCCTTGCCCTCCCCAAAGGACGCCCTTGTAACTAATATAATATGTTACCAATGAGTAATGACAGTCACATTTATATACAAAAATAAATACTAATGTTGGTATTATAATTTGAACCAATATGGCGACTATTTATAAACAAAAAAGAAATTGGAAATGATCATCACGAATCTTCAAATCATTGTGTAAGCACATTTTCAAGACACGAATTTTGGAAAATCTTTTCTTAGTGCCTAGTGGGTCTTATCTGCAACATAAAATGAAACTACTGACCAAATTGCATACCTACTCATAATCATAACTCATAAGTCATAAGTCATAAGTCAAGGGTAGTTTGTGTGGTTCCAGCTAGGCGATGATGAAACTGTTAGTCAGTCATTCAGTCATGACAAGTTTTTATATATATTTATATATATAGATATAGTCGATAGAGATATGATAATATAATATTTAAATGTAGGTACGCTATATATCTATTATACAGTATCTACATACAGGGACGTCGGACGTATTTACAATAAATTCACCTTAGGGCTAACCAGGGCTATAGGTATGTAGCCACTAGCCCTGTATGCAGTGGCGTATATACAAATTATTTTCACTATGGGCTAATTTATCACTAGTCAGCTAGCGCGACTATAACATAGCCATAACTATACATTTTTTTAGGAGCTGGGTGGTTATAAATACAAATACAAATTGCGCAATTAAACGTTATGATTATAATGTAAATTTCATTTTTAATTCTTTTTAAAAAAAAATTTACAATTTCATACATACATAATATATATTTTAATGTTATCGTGTTGTGAATTTA